CCTGCATATAGCATCCTGCACATTTAGTCCTTTATGAAATCTTTCATTATGGAGTAGATGGCTGATGATTAATCATTAAAAAAACATATGTTCCTCCTTTAGAATTCCAACAATTTGCTACAACCAACCAAGTGAATCTACAAAGGCTATTTTAAATTTTAAAAACTATCATACAAAATTAATTGGATAGAGGGGTCATCTCAAGTTTGGCATTAGAATGCTTATTATGACTACCAGTTGTACTTTGTAAGAACACACGTATTTTCAGAATGAAAAGACACAAAAGAAATATTTTTTATTACAATACCAGGTAATAGCAGATTACCAAGACTAGCACAGTGGCTACAGTGTTAATAAATGTAATGTAACATTCAACAGCACTATAACAGATTATATAATCTCATGTTACTACCAGTGGGAGAGCAGCATACCTGTGATGAATTTTCTGCAAGGCTAGAGGAACTGCAAGTGGCCACTGGAAGTTCCATAGGTTTTTCTTCTTCTTCTCCTCTCCCTAAATTAACAAATATTACTTAATATTGCCAATAGTATTAACTTTCCAAAGCATAGTGTTGTTAAACTGAACTTGGGAACAAAGCTTATGCATTTTCCTGTTAATAGAAAGCCAAAAGAAAATTATCACAAAATATGAAAGTATCGATCAATTTACTGCAGATAATTCTCAGTTAACACTTACTGTATTTATGCAAACAGTGCTAAAGGCATGTTTCAGATTTTTCTGACACTATGCATCAGGCACACCTGTCATATTGCTTTACTCTTTGAGCAGTGAGAGAGGAATCGGACACAGGATTTTCAGAACAGAAAGACTGGTAAGTACCCAACTTCCATTGAAAGTGTGGCTTCAGCTGTCACAATAGGAGCTGTTCACTAGCTATGTTATCATGGTTTCCATTCATTTATACAAAAATAATACCAAATCCTTCACAGATAGATCATTAAACACACTGCACCTCTTTCTGTTCGCTGCATTGAGAATCTAATGCTCTGTACAGACTGCCCTAGTTTCCGAGGAATGCATGGGACATGTAATGGTTTATACAGTTGATGTTTCTCATTGAGCAAAGATGGATGTTCCCTATCTTCAAATATCCTAAATTTAAAAAAAAAAAAAAAAAGTTAAAAGTTAATCGTCGCAAAAGAAAGGAAGTCATAAAATATAACCGCTTCAAATAAGTGGAGTTTTCGAGGGAGATGCAGGCTGCCAGGGAGGTTCTACTTCTTGCAGCTCCAACAGCTGATAAAAAAAAATTAAGTTTTCTTTAAATCCTATCAGACAGAGAATATCACTGAAAGAAGAAGAAAAGTGGTAATAAACCAAACATTGATGACTTAAATTTTGTCAGTATCAAAGAAAAGTACTAGTAGTTTGGGATTTTACACTTTGAACAAGTACTTTTTTATTGTAGACCTGAAATCAAATTTTCACATTTTAAACGAATTTTTCTCTCTCTGAGATTGGAATACTCACACTGCACATACACAAAAGAGAAAACTGCAGCAAGTGTTTTCACTTGTAGGGTAATTATCTGTGTGGGGTAAATAGCCTTTTGCAGTGTAGAAAAACAAAGGTTAACAGAACAATGAGGGGTAAAGTGGCTATGTGACACAGGAACATTTGCCATTTTTAAAAATAATGAGTTCTACTTCATTTTCTCTCTG